CAGTTTCGGATACGGAGGCGAACGAAGGGAATAATCCACCACCGTCAAAGAAAGTTTGCCCCGAAGTCTACAAGTCCCCCAGTCGGAAGGGAAACACAATAAGAGACTTTAACGAAGTTTTCCTTATTCCTGGGCAGGAGGTTGACACCTGTGAAGCTGACTGTAAAATCCAGAATCAGATGAGATTATAATATATGCGACACAAATTCACTTTTTTATAGGGGAACATGTGATGTGAATAGAACCCACCATCAGTGCAAGGATTACATATGACTGCAGATACTTCACTGGTTGTAAAGTTCTGCCTGATGGTTTGTTGCAGCTGGGTGAATCAACTTCATTGAAGACCTTTGGAAGACAAACGACAAGATGTACGTCTATCAACACGTGACAAGGGACTGGCAAATCCACGAACACTTGTCCAGTCTACAAATCCATTGAAACCCTTAGGCTGCCCCCCCCCCAAACCCAACATATAATAATGTTTGATTGATGAAACGTATTCAAAAAAGGGATATTTAGAGAGAACAATCTTCAACTGGAACGTACTCACCAAATCAATACATCCGGGAGCGCATTCTCGATGCTTAATTTTCTCTAGTCATTTTTAAACAATTCCTCCTCCAGCGAATCCAAACACACAATAACTAAATATCACTTTTCTTCTTCATGTCACTCTGTGCACAAAAGCAATGCACACCGCAAAAACCTAATAATAGATCAGCGCGGTCGAGTCACACTGTCAACAAAGGGAGCGAGAGCACACCAGGCACCAAAGCAACAGGGGAAAAACATCAGCACAAATCATTCTAAATAGAATTATCGCGTCCGGGACATAAAACTATTCAAATGCGAGCACCGAAAAACTACACGGCAGCACAAAGATAGCCCGAGCTCTAAAAAAAAAGCACGCAGCGGAGCAAAAACACACAACCGTTCTCGGACGCTTCTCAAAGCGGACCGCTTAAAGAAGGTGATAAAATGTTGATCACAAAATCGGAAAAAGCTCAGAAACTTGCTAAGCAATTCGAGAAATCCCATAATTTCAGTTTGGGTCTTACTAGTCCTATTGAGAATCAGGATGCTCGGGTTTATCTGAATATTTTCTCTCGGGAAAATATTTTTGATGATTCCTGGGGGACTGATTTGGACGAAGTAAGGTCTATAACTAAAAAGTTTCAAAATATGAAAGCTCCAGGTGATGATGGAATTTTCTATATCCTCATCAAAAAACTCCCAGAGAGTACCTTGTCTTTCTTGGTAAAATTATTTAACAGATATTTCCATTTGGCATACTTTCCTGATAAATGGAAAAATGCAAAAGTTGTTCCAATTTTGAAGCCGGACAAAAATCCAGCTGAAGCTTCTAGCTACCGTCCAATAAGTTTGCTTTCTACAATAAGTAAACTTTTTGAAAAGATAATTTTAAATAGAATGATGCTTCACAATACGAACTCAAATTTTGCAGATGGGCAGTTTGGATTTCGTCATGGGCATTCAACTACTCATCAACTCTTAAGAGTTACCAATTTAATTCGTTCAAACAAATCTGAAGGCCACTCAACTGGAGTTGCTCTTCTAGACATAGAAAAAGCATTCGACAGTGTTTGGCATGAAGGTTTGATTGCTAAATTGGAAAAGTTTAATTTTCCACTCTATATTATGAAATTAGTTCAACATTATTTAACTGACAGAACTCTGTAGGTAAATTATCAAAATTTCAAATCTAATGGCCTACCGACCACAGGACTTGTATTACACACTTAAAAAAACTTATTTTTACACGAGACGTAATCCATCTTTGACGTAAATTATGGAACGTAAACAAAAATGTCATGTAAAATTAAGTGTTCCCAAACCAAAACATAAGCAACTCGACGAAGAGTACGTTTGATTGAATTGATTTTCTCGTTTCTTTCAACTGATTCTCATGTCAAGAGGGGCGGCTTACATGTGTCGGTCTCAGGGAACCGAAATTTACATGACTTTTTGGTAGTGTGTGAACACAACACACCAAAATTTCGCACACCCGCCACTTTCCGCGTCATCCTCGTTCCGATTTATCCTTGCGATTTCAAACCAAAACATTCAAGGTATCAGAAATACCGGGTTGCCGCGATGGGTATTTTACAAACAATCGCAGCTTGCTCTATGACCGGCACAATCAGCACACCTGCGGCACACTGACAAAAAAGATGACCCAAGATTGATGTGCGGAGTGACCTACCCCTTGACTTGACTAAAAATTAACTTTTAAAATATCACATTGAGGTGAGGGCATTCAAGCCAAATGTAACAAATATATAAAATGTTTGCATCCTCTTATAAATAGGAAATCCAAACTTTGCCTGACGAATAAACTTCTAATATTTAAACAAGTTTTTAGACCGGCCATGCTTCACGCTGTGACTATATGGCCTAGTTGTTGCACTACCAGGAAAAAAGCACTTCAAAGGATTCAGAACAAAGTTCTGAAGATGATTTTTAAGTTGCCTCCCTGGTACAGTACTACCGAATTACATAGAATTTCGAATGTTGAGACTTTAGCACAAATGTCCAACAAAATAATTAATAATTTCAGGCAAAAATCGTTGCAATCCTCAATTGCAACGATTAATTCCCTTTATACTTAGATAATATTTAGTTTTAGTTTTTAGTTTTAAGATTTCAATTGTTATACTGACATGCAGGTTATAAAAAAAAACCTGTTAAAAATACTGAATTGCCAAGACAGGAACAATGTAAAAACACTTAGATATATATCATAGCAATTAAGGATGGTAAGTTACTGTAGTAACTGGAGCACCTAGGTTAAAATGAAGTAATTTATTTTGAATTTGAAACAAACAAAAAATGCTTTCCTTCAAAATTTATGTATGCGCCCAATATTAGGGACACTTAGGCCGACACATTAGAGCCATTTCCCCTACCCCAAATTTATTAATAATTGGGAAAATTTTAGCATTTTGATAAAGTACTGCAGTGTGGTGTAGTGGTAAGCGTAATTGCTTCTCTAAATCCCAGCCGGCGCCCTCGGTATGTTCTGAGACATAACATCTCTGATCACGCCCTCCTTCGCAAAGGAAGTAAAGCCGTTGGTCCCCGGTCCATGAGTTGACGGAGCGATATAGGGTCCAGGTATGGGAGCTGCCTCCCTAGTTTTTTGAAAGCCCATATCTTTCTTTCAGTGAGTCTGAGGTCTTTGATGTCCTCGACAATATTTCTCAAAACTCTAAAATGCCCTACTTTGCCGAAAAAAAAATCCTTGTAGAATGCTCCGTTCAAAAGATAGATTCGAGTGCCACCTATGCGATAGTAATACGAACTAATCGGAAACCATCAAAAGCTGGCTCTTTACAAACTAAACAACTTTGTCGAAGACTTCAAATCTGTAGGATTTCACGGTGTTAGAGGTTTTGGGCACGCTACCGGGATCGTTGCCCCATTGTGCACTGGGACTAATTAGGTATTAACAAAATATCTAAGATTCCCGAAATCATCCTGGAGTTCATATCTTGAAGTTCTACAGGCTCAACCAAAGTCTTGTATGATGTCCTGACTTATTATTTGCATTAATGGAGCTACGTGGGACCTCATCACATCAAGTGAGATGAAATGTTTCATCCTCCAAATTTTCCTGGAGTTCAGATCTTAATGTTCTTCAGATTCAACAAGTACGATGTATTGACTAAATTTTTTGAACCCAAAAAAGCTTCGTGGAGTTCCATAATATCATGCGAGATCAGTAGTGGTTAAGACAAAATATGTGTGGTCTCCAAGCTATCCTGAGGTTTCGTCTTGATATTCTACAGGCTCAACAAACTATTCTTTGATGTCCAGATTTATAATACGGATCCATGAAGCTCCGCGGAACCTCAAAACATCAAGTGAGATGAGAAGTCGTGAAATCAAAATATGCTCCATACTCCAAATTGTCCTGGAGTTCTGATGTGAATCATTACCCTTAACAAGCAAGGGCGGGCGCACACTTTTTGCCTGTAGATTTGAAGACATCTTACGGGTTAGGCAAAAGGTGTGCGTTTGACTTTGTACTGTCGCATTAATGGCCCTTCACACATTTTCTACTTCTATTAAATTTACATACTGCCGTACTCTAACGGAACTATCCACCTACCCTCTTCTAAAATCATTATCTAGCTAATAAATTATCACACTAAAGCTTCATGTTAGATAGCATTTCCAACCAACTCTGAATAATTATGCAATGTTTCATGCAAATCGGAGAAGGTCGATCATGTTAGTTGATATGAATGCACTTCGAGAATTTTCTCTTCAAAGACAATAACTGAACATATATTACATTCTACTGTTCAAAAAGAAACCTGGCAAGGCAATGCTCAGTCTTATTTTCTATGTTCATCAGTAATGTCTTCTTTCTAACTTTACCGCAAGCAATACTGAAACTAATAAGTATACTATCCACGAATAGCCATAATTATTCTTCATTAAATGCAATTACATGTTCGGCAATGGCAAGTCTACCAATGAAATCCAACACAAATTTCAACTCAAATCCGAACCAGAAACATATTCCGAAAACGAGTCATCTTATCTCAACACCTCCCAAAACCCCCATCTTGCTAAAAACCCTTTCTCATACACAGTTCGTTATTCGTTGTTGTTATTGTGTAGCTCTGAAACCGCAGATGCCGCACTAGCGGACTATACACTCCCATTCTAATAAAACCAAAGCAAATCTCGATTTACATTGGACGTAAGTTAATTATTTTCCTTTTTTTTAATTTCTATTGTTTTTGTTTTACTTTACATGCTATCATTCAAAAGAGAATATTCATCAGCAAAAAAAAAGCTTTCATTTAACCTAACTTTTAGGTTAGGAATTTCTTAGTTTTCCATATTGTTTTAAATTGAATCTCCATTTTTAACTGTAGTAAAATTAGTGCTCTAACTTGATAGATGGAAGAATTGTACCCAAGTCTAAAATATGCCTTCATTTTGATTTGTATTCCCACCAACAGAAGAAGAAGAGCTCTAAGAAAAAGCGAGCCAAGTCACGTTCCCATTCTCGTGACAGGTAGGTTTCAATGAATGACTTAAATTAGCTAGGATACGTTTTCTAACGATGCTTTCACACAGCTCTCCATCGAAACGACCGGATCGCAATCATCAATCGCGTGAGGATAAGCACGACAACAAGAAGGATAAGAACCGCTACGAAGACTCCAGTCGCGATCGTTCCGATCGCAGGGGAGACGATCGCTATGGACACTATCAACATCAGCAGCAGCAGCAACAACAACAACCACCACAACAACAGAAGGATCGTGAGGAACGCGGAGTTAATCGTGTGGATCGCTACGGTAAAGGTGAGGAGAGGGAACGTAGAAGTCGATCAAGGAACCGCCGTCGAAATAGGTCGGAAGAAAGAGATAAGTCAAAGTCTAGATCTGTGTCTAGGGGAAGGAATCGGTCCAAATCGGTGTCGATCGATCGTGCTAGGCGGAATAGGGTGCAAGACAAGCGCGACAGGAGCCTAGAGAAGGCGAAGGATAAAAAGAGAGATAAATCTCCGCGGAAGGAAGACGGAGATAAGAGATCGAATAGGAACCGATCCAGAACAAGATCCGGCAGTAGGAAACGGGAAGAGCCGAAGACGAAGGACAAGCGCCGTGATCGCAGCCGATCGAATAGTGTGAAGAAAGGTGAAAACAAATCCAAGGAGAAGCGACGCGATCGCTCCAGATCCGCCAGCAAGAAGCGGGATGAGACCAAAGTGAAGGATAAACGTCGAGAAAGATCAAGATCCGCTAGCCGACCGAAGGAACCATCCAAAGACAAGCGTCGCGACAAATCCAAGGAACGTAAAGAACGTAAAAAGTCTGAAACCCCGGAGCGAAGAAGACGCGAACGGAGCGACAGTCCGAGAAGAAGGGCTAGCAAGTCTCCCGTGAAGCCCAAGAAGAGACATGAGTCTCCTGTTGCGAAGAGCTCCCGGAAAAAGTCCCGATCGCCATCTCCGAAGCGCAACAGACGAGATCATGAGTCTCCTGTTGCAAAGACTTCTCGGAATAAGTCGCGATCACCGTCACCGAAGCGTGACAGAAAGCGTTACGAGTCTCCTGTTCCGAAAAGCTCACGGAAAAAGTCGCGATCGCCGTCTCCCAAGCGTAACAGAAAAGATCACCAGTCCCCTGTTGCAAAACCTTCACGGAAAAAGTCACGATCGCCGTCTCCAAAACGAAACAGACGAGATCATGAGTCTCCTGCTACAAAGCCTTCACGGAAAAAATCACGATCGCCATCTCCCAAGCGCGAAAGACGAGATCTTGAACCGCCTGTTGCGAAGACTTCACGCAAAATGTCGCGATCGCCGTCTCCTAAGCGCGACAGACGGGATCGTGGGTCTCCTGTTGCGAAGCCTTCTCGGCAAAAGTCGCGAACGCCATCTCCAAAGCGAGACCGAAGGGACCGTTCAAAGTCTCCCGCTACTATCAGCAAAAATCATCGTTCAAGATCCCCAACAACGTCTCGAAAGGAACGATCATCTGTAGACAACCGTAGGAATCGGACCAAATCTCCAACGGAAAAACGCAAGAAGCGTTCTCCGTCTCCTTCGAGATCACGACAAGACCGGTCAAAATCGCCAGCGAAAAAACATCGTGAACGCTCTCGATCAATGGATCAATTGAGCAAACCATCAACCAGTTCCGCGTTGAATACCCGGAAGGAGCGTTTGAAGTCCCCGACTGAGAAGCGCAAGAAGCGATCGAATTCAAAGGAAAAATCGACCAAGACGCGATCAAGATCGCCTGCCCCTATCCAGAAACCTTTGGACAGCAAAAAAACGCGATCCAAGTCTCCAGAAGCTAAGAAATCTTCTCGCAAACCTAGTCCGGAGAAGCCTCTCCGGAAGCCAATATCACCTGCTGTTCCACCGAAGCGTGAATCTAATACTCCGGTCGAACAAAGAAAGGAAGATCGGAAACGTTCAGTTTCCGCTTCCAATGATTCGTCGGATTCTTCGGATCTTAGCTACTCTCCTGCACAACGTGATCCAGAACGTTACCGTGATATTCTGGAAGGAAGACCGGTCGAGAAGAAGTCACCGGTGCTGCGATCGGTGTCCAAAGAGCGTCGACGATCATCTTCATCTTCATCCGAGGATGGATCTTCGCCGAAAACAGCGAAAGATTTCTTGAAAAAGACATCCAAACTATGTCGTGACCGTAGTCCCCCTCCGCCCCCTGTGGATCGCAAATCCAAATCGCGTTCAAAATCACCCCCCAAGAAGCGCCGATTTGAAACTCCACCACTGGAGACTCCTGTCGCCAAAAATAAGGAGGCTCGATCACCCATAACAAAGAAGCGCAAGGATCGTTCACCATCGCCTGGAACCTCCAAGATCGTGGAGCCTACTCCAAACGATCGTGATCGTACTCGTTCTCCAGAAGCTCCTCCGAAGCGATCGCCGCCCGCAACGTCTGAAAAGGTCAAGCAATCAAGCAAGAGACCCAAGAAGAAGCAAGTTCAAGTTCAACAACCGGTCGTCAAACTGCAGTCGCCTGCTTCTTCGTCGACTGAGTCGGATAGCGACTCTCAATATCCACAAGGAAAATCCAAGCAGGGTGATCATTTGGATGCTTTCCTACCGACCTTCGGGGATAATCGCGAGGATCAGGACCTGTCGTTGTTGAAGGCCCTGAAAAACGACCTGGCTGTGAAGGCCAAGCAGTGTCTGGAGAAGAAGAAATCCGTTTCGGAGCAATCTGGCAAGGGTGATCCGACGGATGTAGGTCTTCCTAGAGTAGGCGAAAGCCGGGAACGGAACATACAGATCCAGCAGGCTAAGATGGCTTCCCTGGTGGCTGCCAGCAGCTCCACGATTGGCAGCGGTATTGAGTTCAGCACAGAGACTACAGTTCCGGAGGAGCCGACGCCGAAGAAAGAGGTGGCTACTGCTTCCACGAGTAGTGAAATCAATACCAGCCAGATCAAGAAGGATATTCACGATATTTTGACAACGGTTGGTGCGTGCCGGATGGACGAAGGAAGCAGCTCGGCAGCCAATTTGACCAAAAGCACGATCCTCAATGCTGTGGATAGTATTCTGAAGGAGAAAATTCCCGGAGCAATTGAGTCAGCGAACCCGCGTAAGTCCCGCAGTGCGTCCAGGTCACGGTCTAGATCGCGATCGCACAGGTGAGTTGAGCTACCGTTTGAATCATTAGAATACGCTATTTTTAAGCCATCGGTTTCGTTGCAGATCCCGCAGCTACAGCAGCTCCAGTTCCGCTTCCCGTAGTTCCCGCTCCCGTAGCCATTCGTCGCGATCGAGATCGCGCTCCAGCCGCGGGAGCAGTCGTTCGCGATCACGCAGCAGTACTTCCCGGTCTCGATCGAGATCCGTACCGCCACGTCGCACCACCAAGTCCCGGTCGCCATCCATACCACGCCGGGCAGGGTCGCCAAGTTTTCTCGATCGCCGCCGGATCACCAGGTGAGTGATTCTATCTGCCGGGAATTTCCGGGTTTTATTGTTTATTTTTTAACTGGTTTATTTGAAAATCCTTGTTTCATATTTCCGTTTACCCTTCTTATGTTCAGCTCGAGAACGCGCAAATCGCACAGTAGATCCAGCAGTAGTAGCTCTAGCTCTAGCTCCAGATCGAGTCAATCGAGCAGATCCGATCGATCCAGCCGAAGGCGTCGTCGTCGTTAGATCCGACGATCTTTCAACGTTCGACGCCCCTCGATTGCGGGCGGTTCGGTTGTTGCGTGCTAGACAGTATGCCCCCCAACATTTTGCGTTCTGACGAAGTGTTTAGAACGCAGCTTTTTCTTGTTTAGATTTACTTTTAATTTTGACGGAGTGCCCATTGTGTAGAATTATTTTCAGTTTACTCTTAAGTTGTAATTGTGTATTTTTTGTAACACTTGATCAAAGCTTGATATTTAGGATGCATTTTGAGTTGTTTTATGTTCTGAAATGTACCGAAAGTTCCTTTTTTGTTTCAACATGCTAAGGTAAGTTCGTTATTTAGATACTTTCTAAATTGATTGATGCTACTTTTTTAATCCGAGAAGCTGCTTACCCACTAACCGGTGTTTCTCTTTTACACTTTGTGCCGTCAATGATTGGAATTTGTCAACTAACAGTGCTCGGAAGCGTCCCATTCCGTATCGTCGTCCAACACCGTCGTCGATGTCCAGCGGCAGCAGCTACAACAGTCGTAGCCGCTCTCGTTCCAGAAGTCGCAGCAAAAGCATGTAATGCCCCATCACCAACTAATAATCTCCCTCTCATTACTCATCACGAAAGCGGAGTGATCTCAACTAACTGCAGAAATAAAATAATGCTAACTTCAAAACCCAAACACTACAATGCACGATTCATGTCTAAATATGAAAAAAAAAAACAACAACCAAGTTGAAGGAAAAACCCAACTGAAAATCAAAAACAATCAACTGAAAGCAAATACTCTCTCCGTGCGTTTGAAAAGATGATATTATCGAATGAATAACAAAATCGATGAAACGAAACTATGCATGGATCTCATCTGAAGCAAATTTTTAAGTGTGATCTATTCTGTTGGAAAAAAAATATCTAATTTCGAATTACTCGGTTTGATCTCATTATGAAACTAAAACTAGTCATTTTTCTGCTTCTGGATTGAAGCTTGTAGAATAGGGAAGCAAATGTTCATTCACTTTTAGTCACTCCTTTCAGGTGCAATTTAAATCCAATTCTGTGTCAGAATGTGTTGTTATTTTTTCGTTTGTTTATTTAATTTATTTTGCCTATTTATTTGTCTCCCATTAGTCATATCATGCGTGCAAAATGCATTCTTTTACCTTACCTTCACAACAGCAAGTATTCATTGGTCAATACAATGTGATTAACAAAATGTACTAAAATCAGGTCGACTAACAGAAGCTTGATTTCATCCGAAATTCCTGCTAAATGTGTGTTCCGTTTGGGGTTGAGATCTTCCAGTGGCGTGAGCAAGGGAGGGGGAGGAGCATGGTGTGTGTGTGTGTGTGTGTGTGTACAATCTAACCCCCACTGTCCGGCAGTGTTATTATGGAAGAAAACTGCTTTTTATTACCCTTCAATTAAAGCAGGTTTAGTCCGGGAGTTAGAAGGTGTTAGCTCTATTGCAGCTCCAGTGACCCATTTCAGAATGCCTGGTAATTCACGACCACTCCGAGGTCACTTTTACTTACAATAAGCCCCGCATGTTCACTCTACCTTTATCAAATGGATAATGGTATCATAAACACACTTCCAGATTCAAAAAATATTATTTCCAAATCTGGCACGTATATAGTTTTGAAATTTGTTTAACTGTAATAAAACGATTTTAATGGACATTTCTTACCAATTTTGTTTCGAATACCTCTTGATTCATCTGCTGGCAGCACTTACTGGACCTTACCGGCGACCAACTCGTCTGCCCGCAAAAGCAACAACGCCTAAATCTCAAAGCTCTCCGGACGTCCCCTCGAAATTGCAATCGAGATATGTATAAGAACAATCTTCAACTGGAACGAACTCACCAAATCAAACGGCAAAAAAAAGGGAACTCGTTGAGCAATTTTGTGATGTGGAATTTTCACTGAACATAAACCGCGAATTTACGAACTTCACCACTCCCAACTGCGAAACACGTTCAGAAGCACTTTTGGTACACTTTCGATCAATTTCTTTCGAACACACAAAAAAAAGTTTCAAGCAGCGAGCCAACATCAACACCGATTCGGGGAGGGGGAGGAGCATGGTTTCCCCAAATGATTTTGAATTCACACCACCGACAAACCGACATGAAACTTAAACTTAACTCTTGATCGAGAATCCATAACGGCCGATTCAAATGTGCAGCGATACCATCTGTCAAAACTATAGAAATATTTTATCTAGATAAAAATATTTTGTCCGAAATTGATTAGACACGAACCAACTCATAAATTTTTAACGCGTTTTCGTGGCTAGTATAAATGTTTTCCGCGAAAGAAATTTCTTTGTAATTTGTAAGATCATTCACGTCGGTTTGTCGGTGTTCACACCCCATGTGCCCTTCTAATGTTTTTCATCGACACAACATACTTTTGAGCTATCCAAAAAATTATAAAATTTAATTAGACATACCAAACTCCCTGTTATTGCAATTTAATTGTAATTGTAATTGTTCAGTGCATAGGCTGTGCCTTCCGCTAAGAAGGCTTATCTAGGGACCAACCCCCTAGTCTATACACCTACTGTCCTTCCCGTTGCACTCGTCAGCTCGTGCGATACTCTAGACACACATCCCCTGGGTAGGCTCGTGTCCATCCAGGTTCTGGTACATTAACTTATCTATATGCATGGTAAGTATACTTTTAAAACTCACCTTTTGATTATAATGTCGAAAATGCTGAAACTAAATAAAGGTTAGCGATCCATATAAGGTGTGTGCTGCGACGGAGTAGTAATTGAAGGAAATGAGGTTCTGATGTGAAGTATAGGTAATTCTAAAATAGGTAAATCAATTAATCATTAGCTGCTAACAGTTACTAATAAATGGGTACGATAAATCACTCATCAATGAGTATTGCCACTCCCACTGAAAAATTATCAAGCAAGCACACACCTTTTAGATTCTTATCCTACTTACGGTTTCCTGCACATACGACTTTTCCTAGATACAAGCTTCGTCCAGTATACATTGGCTGTCTCCAACCGGCATGATCCTTTCTGTCTGCTTCCTCTTGCCGGTGCAAGTTTAATTCTTCTTTTCTTGTTCGAATTCTCTTTTTCTCCTATTGATCTTCTGGTCGGGTTCCCATTTGTCCTCAGGCAGTTAATATTAGTACATGATAGGAAGAAAGAAAGAAATAGAACAAGTTAAGTGTGAGCCGCATGCATTGGTTACTTATTTGGGTCATGGTGTTGTCTTCCCTATTTATTTGCCTCTATTCGCTCTCATATCGCAACGTTTAACTCACCCCCTTTCCTCACACTATTATAGTCGGAAAAGAGAACCCATATTTAGTAATCTATCGCGAACTACGATGCAGAAGATATTAATAGCAAACTAATCTGGAACTGGTCTAAGACATATGACCCAGTGAGTATTGACACCTCACACTGTTGTGAATGAGCACGGAGGCGAGATTTACTAGAGTATTAAATGCAAAACGCAAATTCAAAATAAAACTTGACAAGACATCGTCAATCCCCTTATTTTTGGGCAGGACCTGACGATGAGAATCTGATTTTGATCAGTGAACGGGCCCCATATGGTACATTTTCTCACTATGAACCTGTCATTTCCAGCCTATCTGAACTATTTAATAAATGGAAACCATAACATGGGTTACGCTTCCCCTAAGCGGGCCCTCCGCATCCTATCTCTGTCTTATCTCAAATGCCAATGGTTTGAATGTATCAAAATATACATTGGAAATGACGTTCAATCAAATAAACCCATACCCCACTCACTTGGCCAGGCTTCAGAATCGTCCAGTGGGCAGTGCGCTCTACACTCCAAGTTCCCTTTCAAATTCACCCCAAATTTGATATGTTACCCCTTTGAGTGTTGATTAATCACAATGAAACATTGTGACAGAGCACGGACTTGAGGTTACTAGAGTATTAAATAATCTAGGTTCTATTTAGGATTATATCTGAAAAATCCAAATCTGGCCAATGCCCACCAAACTCCCTGTTATTGCAATTTAATCTCTCAAAATTTTTAAAAGATCTAAGATCATTTCAACAGCTGGAAGATGCGTATCAACGTGGTGAAGACCCAGGTCATATATTTTCTACATTCAAAGTCTCCCAAACATGTTCCGTCTGAGAATAACAGGTAGGCTAATCAATTGAAATGTCAAATCAATGTACAATCATAATCACTAGAAATAAACGTAATTTTACTACTACTACTCTGAGTTGATCAGTTGGACTTGATACATACTGGAATCAACACATGTATTTCTATAAAAGAAGAATCTCTCCCCAAACGAAAATAATCAGGCAGTATAATTAACAATCAATACGAAACTAACGATTTTAAATTGGCTCACTACTTGACTAGCCTATTGGTCCCAAGCAAACGATTAAGGTAGCCCATTCTAGTCGAAAATCTAGTACTACACAATGTTTGTTTTGATTCGCTATGAAAGTTTTACAGATAAAATGAGGGGTTATTGGTTTTTCTTATGTTTCGAGGGGTGAATCGACTAGCTTGGGACCGAAGAGAGTACCAGCAACAATCAATACGAAACTAACGATTTTAAATTGGCTCACCACTTTAGTAGCCTATTGGTCCCAAGCAAACGATTAACGTACCCTATTCTAGTTGAAATTCTATTACTACACTATGTTTGTTTTGATTCGCTATGAAAGTTTGACAGATAACATCAGGGGTGTGTTTATTCATGCAGAACATGCAGGGGTGAGTGAAATAGCTTGGGACTGCTTGGGACCGTTGTTCTGGTACTGAGTGAGCCAAAAATAATAATGATTTTCTTCGGGACCCAGTGGTCTTAGAGTTACCTCTATGGTACCAGAGCTGAGCCAAAAAGTTGAGCACGTTATTTCGGGACCTTCTAGTCTTAGAGTTACCTCTATGGAATAATCATAGAGGTAACTCTAAGACTAGTAGAATAGAGGTAACTCTAAGACCAGAAGGTCCCGAAGAAACGTGCTCAACTTTTTGGCTCGGCTCTGGTACTATCTTTGGTCCCAAGCTAATCGATTCACCCCTCGTGTTGACTACGGTAACTAGGCGCTGGCGAAGGGATCGACTGCGATACCAAGGATATACAATAAACCAATCAGACAAAAGAAGATACTAGTTGCACGCTATAGTGAAGGTAATTTATTATTATTTACCTGAACATAAATTAGTGCTACACTATAAATACTACAAACTACTTGACATATAAGAAACAAACATTAATTTAGTTGTTGAGTATAGCAAGAGTATTATGTGAAAAAAAAGTAGGTTGATTAGTGTATTTATTTTACACTTTTTTTAATTCAGGTAACATATTGACCAAAGAGACTTAATTTATAAAAAGAAGACATGTCAAAATTGGAGCAATCGATTATCTGTCAAAGTCATAGGAAAAGTTATTACAATCGAGCAGAATACCTGTCAAGTGGATAAGATGTCGCCTCTTTACCCAATTCTTTCTTTTTAGTATAGACGTATAGAAAGATATAATTTCAATTCTCTTCGACGCTGGGCTTCGAGCCACTTCACCTGTAATGTAATAGCTATGCCGATATAAGCATAATTTTCCCATGTTCTATGCAATCCTGCTGAACCGTGGGATATTCATGCCTATAACGTATAACAGATTAGTCTGACTGTGTTGCTTTCGTTGTTTTAAACACGGAGGTGGGCTCTACACGACAAAAGTACCATAGACCGCTTCCTGCACTGGTCCTAAATAAGTCGAAACAAAAATACTATATTGAGTGTAGAACCCCGAGCAAAGTTCAGCATCAAAATGACAGCAAATTGAAATCAAGTTTTGCTATCAACATCAAACTGAAATCATAATTTGATTTCAGTTTACGCAATTGACAAATTTGATAACTAATTTTGTTTTGAATTTGCTGTAAATTTGTTCTTTAAAAATATGTTGTTGCGGGTTTGTTTTCATTGTCTTTGCATAACATCAAATTGAATACTTGTTTTGTTATCAACAGGAAAAATTGATATCAAATTTTGTTTCCAGTTTGCTCTCACTGATAGCAGAAATAGTTTTCAATGTGATCTCACAGGAAGATTTGTTTGCTCTCAATTTTGATATTTTAACCGTTAAAACGACCAAAACGACAGCAACCTGAGTAATCATTATCAGCGAAATCACAACATCAAATTTAGATTTCAAATTGATCTCAGACTTTGCTCGGGACGCTA